TTTGCATTAGTGACGGGGTTTAGGAGGGAGGGGCTGTATATGCCTCCGAACAGATACCCTGAGTTGTCTGGGGCCTTCCCGCTCACAGAGCACCAGTAGGTGTTGATGTGAGCAGAGCGAACGTGGTAGTTGTCCTGACACACTTGACGATGGCAATGTGAAATGCCCAAAAACCCACACCGATAGCGTTGGTCATAGCAATCGTAGGTAGTGTAACCCTGCTGTCTCACCTCCGATCTCAGTAAAGTGGCAGAGTAAGGCGAACGACAGGAGAAGTCCCCTGTTTCAGGGTTTTTCTGGGCCAGGGCATCACACAGTGGACCTGCATCTGAGCTGATATGAATACACTCTTGGTACACACCGCCAAAACTGAGGTTTGTAGCGGGGCCCTCGCAGGATGCGTCATCAATGTTGGCTTGGAAGTTAAAGTTCTTGGAGCTGACGTCGACGCATCCAGGCCGCGTGTTGACCTTGTAGTATCGCTCTACGGCCTGACTCACCGCAACAGCTATTTTGCCAACTGTAGGCTGGGGAAGATCAGGGAAGGTGTTGGTGTTTATAAAGTAGTGTAGGGGAAATCCTGAGCGGTCAATAGCAACCAGGTTGTTCCTGGTACTTTCCTGCCACTTCTGCAGGGTGATGCCAGGATAGAAAGGCGTGCCGCCGCCATGGCTTTGGATAATAGAGTACTGAATGTTGGACTGATATGTTTGAAGGGATGAGCTCTGTTGGACATTTTGACTGCTTATGTCAAACTTGACTTTGTCAAAAAAGTTTAAGCCGGCCTGCGCCTTGACAGAGGAACTCTCCGACACACTGTCCGACACATATGAAGAACGGAGGTAGTCTTCCCCCACCAAAGTGGCCCCAGCATCGACACTAGTGATAACATGGGTTCCATAGTCCAGCACCATCTTCTCTGAGAGGTATTCTACGTTCCTTGTTTGGTTGTTTTCTATTGCATCGGCTATCTCTTTAGCTTGTTGAGCAAAGCGTGCGTCCAGAGTGAAGTCTGGATAAGCCTTGACTGTGTAGATGAAGTTCCGAACCTTTGAAGAAAAATATTAAATATCATGTTATAGTTATTCCAGCTCATTCACTTTGTATTATTTTGCTTAATTTACTTTTTAACGTGACATCTGTAACATCTGTCCAGGAACTACAGATTAGGAAATAGCCTTCTGGCTCACTCTGGCACATTTACGGCAATGTTGTTTAATGTGGATGAATATACCTACACTGTTTAAGGGGCAACATTTTTATCAACCAAATCCATCCATCCAAGTAATCCACCATAGTAGTACCTTTTATATATACTGTGTATATATATATATATATATATATATATATATATTAGTGCTGGGCAACAATTAAAATATTTAATCGCGATTAATCGCATGGATTTTTTGCGATTAATCGCGATTAATCGCATTGTTATGGCAAAGTTCAATAATGAATTCAAAAGTAGTGTATTGCGTACTTTTATTTTAAAAGTACTGCTATATGAACAAAAGGGCAATAACATTTGGTTCACGAGATGCAGGTAGCATGTTTTATACTTAATGTGAATATAATTCATACTTTGTTGGCATCTTATTCTGAAAACCGGATGTTCGTCTGAAGAAACCGGATGTTGTCTCACGTTAATTTTTCCGCTAACTTTCAAAGTCCTTCGCTCGCTCCTGATCTGTGCTGTGAATTTCAGCATATAGGTGCACTAAAATTACTGACTATAGGATGTTTGCTGGCTTTTATCCCACTGTTTTTGTCATCCTCTTGTTGTTATGTATATGTATTGTCTCTTGTCTTTCAATTCAAAAAAAAATTAAAAAAAGAAAGAAAATCATAATAAATTAAAAAATGCGTTAACGCGCGATAAAATAATTGTCGGCGTTAATTAATGAATGATTCATTAATTAATTAATTAAATATATATATATATATATAATTAATTAAATATATATATATATAATTAATTAATTAATTAAATATATATATATATA